ATCATTATTAATAATGATGAAAATTATAAGTAAAAATATATATTGATATAAAATAATTGATAATCATAAACATGTCTTTTCAATCTTAATTTTTTTTTAATTTTTTTGATTGCTTATTAAATTTCACAAATAGACATGTTTTTTTGTAAATTTTTCAATAAAAAAAATTAATTTTACGCGCGCGCGCGCGCGCGAACACACACACACACACACACAAAAGTATTTTGTTAAACGTACTTAGCGACATTTCATACTTCCTCTTTTTTATTCCTTTCATTGTTTTCTTTATAATATTTTTCCATATTTTTCATTGTCTTTTTCTCTTTTTATCATAAAGATGTACGTATATATGTGTGTGTGTGCGCGCGCACGCACACACACACACACACACACACACACACACACACACACACACACACACACACACACACACACACACACACACCAACATTTATATATGTATATATAAAAATTGGATAATTGCACTGAATGAGTAACCATTTGCTATTCATTTCTATCACAAAGGATTCTCTTTGATCTCGAAACAAATATATTTATTTATGATCTTTTTTTCTTTCACTCACTTTCATATATTCAATAAAATATAAAAAAAAAAAATTAAAACCAAACTACATTCGAATTAAGAATTGATTCCATTATTCTATCCCGGTTTCAATTTTTGAGCACTTATCCAATTTTTATTGTATAAAAATTTATAATGATCATAAATCTTTGATCAAAAATAGCACTATTATTGAATTTTATACATTAGATATACAAAAACAAAAAAGAAATATTGTAACTATAAATTATATAAATTGATTTAAAAAATTTGAATATAATATATTATTGTTTATTAATTGTTATTTAGATTTTTTTTCGTTTATAGATATGAACGAATTAATAACATTGACGGAAATTATTTTTGATGAATAACATATGGAAATAAAAATGGATATAAGAAATAGATGAAAAATATATAAAGACAATTGAAAAACAATTTTGTAAAGACATATGTTATTAAATGCTTCAACGCTAGTTATATGGCGTCATAATTTGTTGTTATACAACAATAGGGTAATGCGCCAAATTTACACCTCATTAAATTTATTTCATATTCCGTCAATAGTGATAGTCTTTCACTTTTATATATATGATTAAATATCGTATATACTCTAGTAAAATACGATTTTGAAAAAAATTGAATTGAGATTGTTCTGAATACAATTTATCGGGCAATCATACTAAAAATACGCATTGATAGAATTTCAAAATAAGAGATGTATGGGATAAATTAAATAAAATATAAGATTTATGAATGTAGAAAGAAAATATTTACATATATACAGGTTACATACAAATAATATTGTCAAATAATATGTATCAATAAATAAGATATAGTATGTATAGCCTCGATCCAAAAATAAACGGATAGAATAATTAAACAGAAAAATTAACAAAAGAATGAATAGCAGAATAATATAATGGCGGTAAGCGAATGAATTTTTAAAAAGTCATTTTTATATGCATCGCATGCGGATACAAATAATGTATCGAAAGTAATGGAAAGGAAGCAATTATCGAGTACTATTCTTTCTGATACCTTTTATGTATCAATACGAATAAACAAATGTAATTATTCTAAATAGTATTTCTCCTTATACTTACACTTATGAATAATTTTTTAAATACCTTAATTAAAATGTTATGTTCATGCATAGTTTGAACATTATTAATTTTGTAATATTAAATTTAAATTTAAGAGATGGAAACAAAATTTAAATTTATAGCTAAATAAATAGAAAAATATTTGTTGTAAAATTGATATGATCGATATATCATTATTGAATCAGCTGTGTTGCGTTACATCATCGATCTATAATATGTATTGAAAAAAATGGTAATGCGTATGCGCGTAACAATTCGGTCAAGGTTATTTCGCAGGTAAATATCCTAAGAGATTTATATAATGAATTTTCATAGAAGTCACATTCTTTTCTGTAGATTAGTAAGAAAAAAAAGACGTAATAGATTTTCGAATATTTTTCATAAAATAAAAATGATTCACGATAAGTATATATAAATATATATATATATAGGTCAAAATAAGAATCTTCAATCTTATTTAATCTTTGTTTCTTATTTAAAATCAATCAAACCATTTTCATGTTAAATCATAAAATAATAGTCAATAGCAAATAATAATGATTATAAATTTTTTTGATAGTTTGTTGCATCAATCATAAATATGATAATAATAAAATTGTGTGCATTCTCTAAAAAATATTTCAGTAAGTATAATTGATTAAGTAATATTATAAAACATGATATATTTAATCAAAGGATGATAGAATGAATCAGAAGTAGAATGTGAATGTAAAGATAAAAAAGAAAAAAAATAGTAAGATAAAAGAAAATAATGATATATGTATAGAAGAAGCGTATAAAACCACGACGGATGCAACGTGACCGAGAAACCACGTGATTGAATTAGCCAATTGCAAGGTACGCGGGTATGCTGTCACGTTGCATTCGGCGTGGCTCACATTCCCCTTGCTCTTACAGCCTATCTCTCCTGCTCTATGTCTGCTGAACAAGTTGTATGCTGGCATATGCGAGCAATACTGCTGTTTCTTGTATTTCGCGTCAATATTTATTCGTATACAAATTCATTAGTGCATTATTATATTATTCGATCTCTGTAATCTTTACACGATCATTTAATTATTGGAAAATATAAAACATTGAACCGAGTGTGTATGTGCTACTTCAAGTTGCAATTAGATCAGTGCATCGAATAAGGAACAACGATATTCGGATATATTGCAATGTCTATACATGTTCACAATTGTAAGTATATATATTTTTTTCATTTTTTTGTGTTTTTTCCGTAATATTTTTTATTTTTATTCCATGCTAATTTTGAATTTAACATAATTTTATATTTTTATTAGTGTATAAATTATATTTTTTACCTTTATTTGAATCATTTTAAATTGTATGTTCTTTTTCTCTTTTATCCATTGTCAAATCGATAATTTTCTCCTTCTTAATAAATAATTATTTTATGATCTAATAATTTCATTTTCTTCAATGAAAAATGTTATAATGTAATGTTAATGATGATAAGAAAAAAAAATAATTATTCGCATAAAATTTTTTGTGCGGAATAATGACTTGTTAAAAATAAATAATATTTAAATAAATTTTAATAAATTCATGCCATTTTTTTTAATATCCGAAAGATTTTTTTTTATTAATTTAAAAATCAATTGATTATATATATTAATATATATATTAATATATTATATTGTATATACATTATTTATATATATTATGTGTATTTTGATTCGGTTGTTTATTTATTTATATTTTTTTATTTTTATTCGATATTTAAATTTTTAAATATTGATTGCTATCATTTAATAAAAAATTTTCTTAAATAAAATTGCTTATTAGAAGAAAAAAATATCAAAAATTATCGAAAAACAAGTGTCATTGATGTAAGATAAAATATGGCGTTTTCTGTTTTATCGACGGCATAATAATTTTAGGTATATTATTTAGATTTGCAATAATTACATTACAATTTATTAAAAAAAAACCAATTATTAATATTTTTTTTTCATATTATATTATCGTATTATTATATTTGTATTTAATTTCATAATACAATATTATTTGATATATTTTAATGATTATTTTATATTTTCAAACATATAAATTACGAAATCATTATTGATATTATTTAATCGGTTTTAATTATATAAAAAATTTCTAAAGGATTTCATACAACAAGTTAAAATTATATAGATTTTTAAAAATAATAATTTGAAATGTACTTGTAAATTCGTAATTTTAAAGTTAGAATTCGATAGTTTCGTAGTTTGTTATTGCTGATGCTGTTGGTTCTTATCGCAGTAAATCGAATTGGAAACCTATATTTGGAGACGTGCACCCTGACATTTCATAAAACAATATCGATAATTGATTGATTATTGAAATCAATTTTAAAAGAGATAGAGAAAAAGTGATAAGGAAGCTATTCACGAAATTTTATGTTCCGAGAAACAGGTATTATAATTACATAATTATATAATAAATATCTATATTCGTGCATGATCAGGAATGAATGCTAGTTACGTGAATCAACTTGAAATTAATTTATAGTTAGTTAAATTGAATAAGATAAAAATTTTAATGTCTCATTGCACATTATGTCATTGATAAATATTATTTCACTTTTTTATTATAAAAAAAATAAATGCATATAGGTATGTAAATTATTAGATAAATAAAATAAATAAAGATATATAACAGATAAATAAAATAAATAATAGTTGATAATAGTCATAGACGCGGTACAATAATTTCAAAATCTATAAATTTTTCAATTTTTTTTCATAATTTTTTAATAAATCAATAAATAATCCATTCATATTTTCGTATTTGTCAATTGTTACTTGCTTTCTGGAGAAAGCATTTAAGAAGAAAATAAATATGTACGGACAGAGGAACTACGTTCACATAAAATTTTGCAAATGTAAACGTAAAATAGTAACGTAAGCACGATAAACTAAATTATTATTATCAATTTCCTTTTTTGTATAATATATATTATTAAATATACATATATTTATATTCTCGCATCTTATGTGGAATAAGAAGAGTGTGCAGTAGAATCAACCGTAATACATCATACGTTATATACAGTAGAAGTATTGAAGATGTATCAGCCATCGAAATTATAGTATACAATTATGTGACTTACGTATTCATGTATATATATATCAGGGCATCGACTTATCGTTTCTTTTTTCATTTCTTTTGTCTTTGAAAATATATTTATGCAAGATTCAAATCAAATTAAATCAAATCAATCTTTCCATTGCATATTTGTAAATTTGATATGTTTTTATGTATTTGATACATATATTCATATAAATGATTATATATTTACGAAACAAAATTAAATCTTTTTCAAAAATATTTTCCAGTATATATTTCAACATTGAGCTTCTCTTCGTTCTCCGCCTCCTTATCTTGCTCTGTTTAGAGAATTTCTATTTGATGTGGGAAATTATTAACGCTTAAAGAAGAATAAAAGATTTTAGAAATGTAATTAAAAAGAGAGAAAAGCGAGAAAAAAAAAATAAGAAAAGACTAAGAAAATGCTGAAACTATCGGAATCGTTACAAAGAAGATATATAATCATGCGCAATATGTATCAAGGACAAATGATCTTTGAGAGATACGAATTTTTTTTTTTTATAAACAGGGAAAAATTTTAGTGGAGTGAATGATCAATTATCCGGAGTCCCAATTTTAATGACTTAAACAATGATCTTTTGCTCGGCATGGTCGATTTGATGATTAAAGGGATTCAAGGAGAGACGCATCCTTCGAATTATATTTTTCTTAGAAAAGAAACAACAGAAGAAAAACGAAAAGAAAGAAAAAGAAAAGAAAAAAGTGACAAAAAGATAAAGAAAATGCGTTTATATATAAATGTGTGTGTGCGCGTGAAACAGTGATAAAATTGCACAGAGAAAAAGAAAAACATTTTTATCGTTTAAAAACTTATTGCTAGTACAGTTGAATATGTTATATTGTTGAATATGTTAGTACAGTTGAATATGTTATATTGAAAAAAAAGAGTGGGAAGAATCAGAAGAAAAGGGAAACGATATTCAAAGAATATAAGACAAAAAGAGAAAAATGACGGGTAGTCGTAGTAGCGAAATAAATCCGAAAGAGGGATTGTATGATGAAGGTGGAAAACATACTGTCCATTGGTTTCGCAAAGGTCTCAGACTTCACGATAATCCTTCATTGAGGGAAGGTCTTGCTGGAGCTTCCACTTTCCGTTGCGTATTTGTTTTGGATCCATGGTTTGCTGGAAGCACTAACATTGGTATCAATAAATGGAGGTGAGTATATGTATTATTACAGTACATACATGAATTAAACAAATTTCTTTCGATCGATCGATTAAGAAATAATAAAATATTTCGAAAATATTTTTCAATTCGATTTGTCAACAGATTTTTGCTACAGTGCTTGGAAGATCTTGATTGTTCATTAAGAAAATTAAACTCTAGACTATTTGTGATACGAGGACAGCCGGCAGATGCTCTGCCGAAATTGTTTAAAGAATGGGGTACTACAAATCTGACTTTTGAAGAAGATCCAGAGCCATTCGGACGTGTCCGAGATCATAATATCTCGGCACTTTGTAAAGAGCTTGGTATTTCGGTAGTTCAAAAGGTCTCACATACTCTTTACAAATTGGATGAGTAAGTTTAAATATTTTCCTTTGACATTCGATTTTAAAATTTGTTTTTCTTCTTAATATTAATAATATTAAAATTTATTATTAATAGATACGAGTATCTCTTTATTTTTTTAAAAAATACATTTGATTTTTTCATCTTTGTTAATTTCATTGCAAAATTATTACCTATGTTAACTGTTGCGTTATCAAGCAGCATTATTCCAATTCTTATAGTATTTGTTCAATTTATACATTAAAATGATTATGGCTTATTCATATATTATTTCATATATTATGAAATGATTATTATATATTATTATGGTTTCAGAATTATTGAGAGGAATGGTGACAAACCTCCGTTAACTTATCATCAATTTCAAACCGTTGTTGCCAGTATGGATCCTCCGGAACCACCAGTACCAACAGTTACTTCTGCTTGTGTAGGCTCGGCATATACCCCTTTGAAAGAAGATCATGACGATCATTATGGTGTACCGACGCTCGAAGAACTTGGTAAATCTATGCATTTATTTCTCATGTAAGAGCGAAAACAAAGAATATATAGAGGAAAAAAGAGAAATGACGCAATTAAGGAGTATATTCTAATAATTGATAGGTTTCGACACAGAAGGTCTCCTTCCACCTGTGTGGGTCGGAGGTGAAAGTGAAGCTCTGGCACGATTGGAACGGCATCTAGAGAGAAAAGCATGGGTGGCCAGTTTCGGAAGGCCAAAAATGACTCCGCAATCATTGTTGCCTAGTCAAACCGGTCTTTCACCTTATTTACGATTCGGATGTTTGAGCACTCGATTATTTTATTACCAACTTACTGATCTCTATAAGAAAGTACGATAATATTTTTTTATTTAAAACTATATGAATTGCAATGTACATGCATGCATAGATGAAAAAAAAGAACAATAACTCGATTATTAATTATTAATTTATCTACTTGATTAAAAGATTATAAAAGTTTGATTTATATTTTATGTTGATGATTTTTAGATAAAGAAAGCTGTACCGCCGCTTTCATTGCATGGCCAACTTTTATGGCGTGAATTTTTTTATTGCGCCGCAACGAAAAATCCAAATTTTGATCGTATGCAAGGTAATCCAATTTGCGTGCAAATTCCTTGGGATAAAAACGTTGAGGCACTCGCTAAATGGGCAAACGTGAGTGAATTTGAAATATTTTTATGTTTTGTAAATAGTAGAGATTGTGAATTTGAACGTATATTAAAATATATATATACACGATATGCATATTATAATGCATATTAAGAATTTATGTTGATTATAAATTTATATTATTTTACGATTTTATAATTATAAAAATAATCTGAAAATAGATAGTTTATAAAAATTTTATAAAATTTAATGTATTTATCTATTTTATTTACTTTTTATATTACTTTTTTATATTATCATACGAATTAAATTTATTTTAATTATTTTTTAAATCTAATTATAATATTTTATTTATTTGTTTTTATAGTTATTTATTTAAACAATTTTAATATAAAAATATATAAAATGTATATCATAAAATTTTTAAGTAAAGTAATATACAGAATATATACTCAATAAAACAAAAATATACACAAGATATATTTGTAAATGACATAATTTGATATAATATATATAATATATATAAAATACGTTTCTTATAAATTAGACAAAAAAAGAAATAAAAATTTATGTATCTGTGGCGTCATCTCGTGTTTGGATCATGAAAGCTCTAATTCATTATTAGCGCAACAGAATGTGCAAGGAGGTATTTGTGACGTCATAAAAAAAAGGAACAATATTGTGCGAAAAGGATAGAAAAAATATCCACTAATTTTGATTATGTGGCTTCTAATATTTGCAACTTCGAAAATGCTACATTAAAAATTAATTAATTATTACTTTTTTATTATAAATTTCTATCTAATTTTAAGATTTATATCTATATTATTTATATCTATAAAGCTAGAATTTCATACAAATTTCTCATATCAATTTTAATAAAATTTTTTTCAAGTAATTACTTATTAACAATTAATACGTTATATATTAATTGATATGATTGACGTGTAATATATTTTTTATTAATTGCTTCTTATTATATTCTTTTTTAAATACGAATATACACATATAAAATGTTATTTCTTTCTCTATTTTCATGTATAAATTTCATTCATAATTTTGCTATTGTTTAAATAAATAAATAAATTGTTTATTATTCGATTGTAAATTAATATTTTGCATTCTCTATGATAATCGTTAATAGATAATTAATTGAAAAAAAATTTCCTATTAAAATTAACACGAAAAACTTGTCTGAAGTTCTAGCTTTAAAATGCGAATTTAAAAATATAGAAATTTTGAGTAGAAAATGAATAATTAATAAATTTTCCATGTGATGTCTTAAAGTGATGGGAAATGCTATATATTTCTCACATAATGTTCTCTTTGTTTGTGACGTCACGAATACTTCCTTGCACATTCTGCTTTACTAGTAACAAATCGGATTTTCATGATCCAAACACGAGATGGCGCCACAAATATATAAACTTTTTATTTGCTTTCTTTGTCTAATTTATAGACAAAATTTACTTCACAACATTTATAAAAAAAAGAAAAAACGTATCAGCAATTTTATATTTAGAAATAATTGTTTAAGAAATATAATAAATGAATTTATATATAAATGCTCTGAAAAGAGAAATTTATTCAAAAGTATCAAGAAAATTTTTATGGAAGAAAAAAAAAAAATAAAAAATATAGAGATATAAAAAGATATCTATATATAAAAATACAAAAATATATTAAAAAACATATAAAAAGATATACATATACGTTGAGAAATGCATATAATATTATAATAAGAATATATTATGTTAAAAATTACAAATTGAAATTCGCTTTCATTTATTAAATATATATGTTTATGTATATGTTTACAGATATGTATAAAATAGAAAATTTTAATAAATAAACAATTCGTGGAGCGTTCTTGATCTTTCATAAGAAAAGAAAAAGATTGTTTAAAAAATTGTTTTTCAAAAAACAGGGTCAGACGGGATTTCCTTGGATCGATGCAATAATGACTCAACTAAGAGAAGAAGGTTGGATACATCATTTGGCTAGACATGCAGTTGCTTGTTTCTTAACCAGAGGTGACCTTTGGATCTCCTGGGAAGAAGGAATGAAGGTAAAATGTCGTTTGTTGTTACTGGCATTTATTAACATATTAAAAAAGGTTAATGAACTCTTCAAGATATTGCATTATTTATTACGAAATTATTTCTGCTTGTTTATCTCGTCATGTTTCCTATTCGCATTGCATTCATTTGTAGAAATATATATATATCTTCTTGAATTTTTTTCAAGGTATTTGATGAGCTGTTACTAGATGCTGATTGGTCGGTAAATGCAGGAATGTGGATGTGGTTGTCGTGTAGCTCTTTCTTTCAACAATTTTTTCACTGCTATTGTCCAGTAAGATTTGGCAGGAAAGCCGATCCGAATGGTGATTACATTAGGTAACTTTAATTAATTCTTATACGAAAATGGATTTATTTAAATATTATATGATATTTGAACAATAATAAAACAGTAAAATTAATTTACTTAATTAATAATTTAAATAATTTTTGATTTTTTTTTTTTTTGTATTCTATTTTGATACAGACGATATTTACCAGTTTTGAAAAATTTTCCCACGAGATATATTCACGAACCATGGAATGCACCACTTAACGTGCAACGTGCAGCTAAATGTATCATTGGCAAAGACTATTCATTACCAATGGTGAATCATAGCAAAAGTTCTAGAATTAACATTGAAAGAATGAAACAAGTTTATCAACAATTAAATAAATATCGTGGAAATGGTAAGTTCTTAATTAAATTTTAAATGGAATTTGAACGCTTAATATGATAAATTCTCGAATAATAAATATTATTCTTATCATTCTTATTATAGGAGTCTCTCTTAAAGGAGAAACTGTTGGTGAGTAATATTTTCTCTCTTTTTCTTATACTTTTCATTTTTTTTAATAAATTTACGATAGCCGGCATACGTAACAAGCAGCTTTTCGGCAAGGTTTACTGAATGCACTACCACCTCCATCAATGAAAGAAACTGAGGAAGAAAAAAAGAAAAAACAATCTCTGCCACCATCAGAGAATCAATCAAAAATGGAAATTCTTCCTAAGACGACGCAACGACAACACCATCATTAATAATCGGTTATATGATACGGAAATAACAATTTATTGATCCGGAAGAATGAAATTTCAATTATTTCTTATTTTTATTTAATTCATACTTATTTATTTATCTTCATCGACATTCAAATTTTGATCATTATGCTTCACTACAATCATTTTAATTCTATTAAATTATTTGAAGAGCTATTTTCAACGAGATCGTAGCTTTCATCAATTTATTCAAATAATTACTTATATTTAAAAATAATACTAAAAATAATATTGAAAATATTAAAAATAAAATGATCACTTTGGAGGATAATGATGCGAATTTTATAATTTTGTTGTATATAATACATCTGTGTATATATCATAAATAGAAATTTTTCATGCAAATTTACTTAATAATTGTTTCTTAACATCCTTCCAGATATATTGATCTTTAATACTTATAATAAGCGCGCGTGTATATGTGTATATGTATGTATATAAATGTATATCGGATAAAGAAGAATTAAAAATAACGATTTTCTACTTACCCCAATTTCATTGATATTTATTACAATAGAAAAAGGTGAAAAAAAAAGATCTCAGTTAATTACTATGTAAAAAATAAAATTGACAATCAACTAATGAAATGAACAATTTGTTATAGAGTATGGACAAATATTATTATGAACACCAGCATTTTACTCATTTCAAATATTTATCCTTTTCTTTTCTTTTTCTTATCTAATAAGAATAAGTGTTAAAAGAAAGTCCAATTGACTGTAAATTACGAAAACAACTCGATGAAGCATCTAATTGACATATTTTCTCCATCGTATATATTTATATGTACGATCATTCTTATGGCGTCATGTCAGAAATAATTTACATTCCTGGGATCATTTTTTTATTTTTTCATGTCAACAAATGATATATTTTTAGTGCCTATAGTACTTATAGTTTTACAGTACATTTCTCGTTAGATTTAAACAATTACAAATGAACATCCTCCAACACTCAAAGACGGAACCCTAATGTTTCTTTTTTTGCAAACTATCTTTCTCTCTGTTGTTCGCACGCCCATACATACGCATATACATACCACGCACACGGTTTTTTCTCACTTTCACTCATATTTACTATTCCTTTTTCTTTTTTCCCCTTTTCTCTTCATTTTTTCCTCGTTCACGCGTCTGCTTTTAAATTATAGATTCTTATTCTTCCTTGTTTCGCGTGTTTCTGGTATATGTTTTATAAACGCTTATAGTATGTCTCATGGTATATTATCCATGCAACGCAAGAATAAAAAATTCGCGGATTTTTATGATCACGTTTATAATGTCTCCAAAATGCGTGGCGTTATTAATTGGCGCTTATTATTATTATTATAATATTCGGCCTTTTCAAGACAGATAAATTTGTTTTTTTTCGTAAAAGAAAAAATGACAGATAGAATTTTATTGATAAAATAGAAGGATTAAGAAATCAAAATAAGAAAAAAAAATTAGATTTTATCAATTTCAAAATTATCGATAAAATTAATGATCGCTTCAATCGTATCGATGAATTGATGTATCAACAATTTTTCGATTACAAAACGATTTGAAAAAATATTGTCCATGTTGGGGAAATGACACGTGTTTCCGCGCACGTGTGTATTATATGTAAAGTCACGTGTATAAGGAAACTATGTACAGTAGTAAACTTTAGAAATTAGATTAGATCGATTATTTAATTAACGAATATGATGGACTAATTATAATCTTATGGGATAAATATTCGAGAAAATATACGTCAAATCTTAATGATTAAGTTCATGACTCATGATAAATCATATTTTTGATAATTAACTGCTTCGAATGTAGTGTAGTGTAACGTAATTATATGAATTAAAAACAATAATTGCGAATATCGATGAAATGATTAAACGTTAAAATAATTTTTGCCGAGTTGTTTCCATTTTTTAAATGTCAAGATTTGTTTTATTTCCGCAACGCATTTTGAAGAATACATGCCCGATCGAATATACATATACATGCCCATGCACGCACGCTCGTTCTCGCTTCCAATTAACTCGATTCTTTTTTTTTTTATTTCTTCTTTCATTTCGAAGATCTGTATCAATTGAATTTCAATGCTTCCTTTTCTTTTTTCTTCCAATTTTTTTTCTATTTTCTTACATATATGCATTCTGTTACACACATGCACATTCACACAACATACGCACTCTCTCTCTCTCTCTCTCTCTCTCTCTCTCTCTCAATTTCTCAAATTTTTATTCTTTTTCACTTTTATTTATTAATCACCCTTCCATTCGTTTAACTCGGCTTGATTTGCGTACAATGTACGCGTTATTGAATTAAACTTCGATAATTATTTTTCGGAATTAAATGTAATCCACTTTTCGGTACAATTAGTGCGGTTAACTAATCTATACTATTAACTATGTTCACAATGATCGCTACAATTTACTCATAGTTCATAGTATAAATGTCGACAGCTTACGATACGTACACTACGCTAACATCGGATTCAAAGTGGTAGTTTCGAGTGCGACGCGCTATCGGAAATCTCATTTTTTTCGATCGAACATGTCCGTTCAACGATTCTCTCCTCTGGCATCGCTCGTCGATCGATACACGATCGGTAAGTACGCGTCCTGTTTTCCTCTCTTTCCTTGGTTTTCGTTTTGTTTCATTTCATTTTGTAATTTTTTTTTTCTTTTTCTTTTTTTTTCTTTTTTTTTTCGTAAGGCAAGAGCAGAAAACAAAATCAAAGATAAAGATAAAAAATTTCGCGAATACCGGTAT